AGTCGCCACCTAAATATTTTTTATGGGAGAATTTAGGAAACCCTGACTCGGTGCCGAAGGCCACATGTCCGTCATCACCGGAGTTGTCTCGGCTCGGGAGCTTGGGTACGATCGGGGAAGGTCAGCTATGAGCACCCCCTTTCGCCCGGTCCGAAGACCGGCCTCTACTAACCGTGATACCCGTTTTTGAAAACTTTATGTGTTCTTAAACCAATTGTTAGCCTAGAATTACTATGTTATGCGCGCAGCAAACAAGTATAGACCAAATCGCCCAAATTGGAATAAAACATTTTTATGTTTGTTTTGAAATTGGTTTGCTACTCGCAAGTAGGCTAAAATGCGTATTTTGCCACCCTCACGTGGGCTTTTAGAAAAGATGATTTTGCCACTATCTAGTAGGCTTAAAAACTCACAGTTTTAATGCATTATTCCAATTTAGGTAATTCAACCTCCATCCACAGGCATTCAAGCAGTATATATCACATAAGCAGCTAGCCTCATGGTAATCATGCTATCATGGTAATATTCACACGCATGCGATATGCTAAAGCATAAAAGCTTACCTAGTACTCCGTGCCAAAACAGTAAACTAGTTAGCAAAATGTGCGTGTCCTAGTTCATGTTAATTTGCATAATGCAACACATACAAGATGCAATTTAGATAGGCTCGGTTAACCTAATCATGGCATATGTAATGCGATCAATTATCATATATTCGATTTGTAAATTGAAATACAAATGCAGTTAGTGTGATGTACCGAGCCTAATGCATGTAATACTAATGAATGCACGCATGCACAGCATAAGGTATGCTAATTTCAAAAAATGCCCTAATCTACCATCATAAGCAGGTAAATAAAAGGGAAGAAAGAAATGGGGATTGGAAGACATGCACACACTCACCCACACTTATTACATATTTACCCTCACTCAGAGGGTCCAAATGAATATTACAGTCCCAAAATAATAAACAAATAAAATATTACAGTCCCAAATAATAAACAAACAAAATTATTACAAAAATTCTAATTAATTAAGAGAAAAGATACAAAAGAAAGGAGAGGGTGGCCGCAACCTCTGCCTCGGGATGCGCAGATGATGCATGCTCGGAACTTGACTCGCCCGAAAAACCCGTACCGTACCCCTGCCACCTCTGTTTATACTGCCTTAGCTCTCTGAAAATTGCCCAAGTCCTGGAGCAGGTTCCTGACACACTGCAGAGCACCACCGGCCAGACAGAATTTCCACCGGCACTCTACAATTTTCATCGGCTGTTCTTGGATTCATCGGCACTTAAAAGATTGCCGGTCGGCACTAAATTCTGCCGGTCGGCAGAAACTTCCTGCAGAAAACAGTTTGACAGCAAACAGAGAATAGACAGTGCATGACATGGGGTTTTCAGGCATATGTAAGCATGGCCATACTTCCTATCATGTTTTGAACTCAAGGAAGCATGTCCTTCGATCTTCGAACCATCAATGGTGCATGGTGGCTCAAAGAATCAAATTTGCCATTTGATATAAAGATGCATGCAACAAACAAAATGAAAACCGAAGCCTTATCAAGTTGGAATCAAAGGCCCCGGTGACCGGGAATCGAGGCACATTACATCACTTGAAGTATGAACGTTCCTTGATTCCCACACTTGGTTTGACACCCCAAACCAAGTGAATGCAATGCATGTCATGCTCACAAGGCTCAAATGCAACATGATACCAATTATGCAAGACACAAACAAGTACTATGCAACCAACATGACAAATGTGTAATGCCAAGCATACAAGGTGCAAATGTGATGCAAACATAGACCAATTTGGGAATGGGATTGGCATGCTACGAGGCTTAATGAAGCAACCATGCAATATACATGAAACAAGCATGCAATGGGGGCCTTGAACCATAAAAGGACAGACCTTAGTCCACCCCAAAACAGCACCAAAAAAATGCTCAAAATGATGGGCAACATCTCATGTTAACAAGCAAACTTATGGTCCTAAGGTTAAGGCACAAAAAGGAGACAACTTACCCCCACCAACATGACTTCTCATGGCATGATTTAGACAAATAAGAACAGAAATTTTACATGCAAAATGGGACTTCGAAACCTCCTAGTATGGCAGCTACAATACCTCTCATGAAATGCTACCACCAAGACTCTTTCCTAGGCATAAGAGAGTACACCCCCAAGGCATGAAAGAGGTCAAGCATGCACACATGCAAACATGATTCTTGGACTAAAATAGCATGGCAAACAACTTCAACTCATTAAAGTGGATCAACTAAGGCATGCTAGTGATTCATGTACTTGAGGGCTCACAAGCCAAAACGCATGGCAACCATATCAAACATGTCAAACATGACCAAATGGATAACCAACAGGTTTTAAGCATGAAAAAAAAGTGCTAACATCTTCATGGAACCAACCCAACACACACAAGAATCATGGCCTAATCATGAGATACACTTCTAAGCAAAATGGAGCAATACAAAGCAAGTATTACAAGCATACAAGGAGGCACAAATCCAGCCAAAAACAGAGGTTACACATGACCTAAAACACCTAAAAAACTTCTGAAATGAGGCCAAGAATGATCAAGCACACATGCTACCCTTTTAAGCCAAAAAGCAAGGAAACAAAACAAAGAAGGGAGAGGGGTGTCCCTCCCCTATGCAAGACTTCAAACCACCTTTTTTAACACTGAAAATCAACTGGTTTTTAGTGGTCAAAGGACCAAAACACTGAAGTGAACAAAGCCTTACTAAAGAGGCACCAAAATGGACCAAACAAAGCCTAGAAGGGTGAGTTTGCACTCAAACCACCTAATGAAAGTTCTAAAGCATGAAAATATAAGCCTTTTTCATGTTATACACAAGAGCTAAAACAGCAAGTAAGATAGGTAGAAAACTATTGCAAGTTTGGGGAATAAAAAGCAAGATGCTCACCCTTGAAGAACCCTTGAAGAACAAATGGTCTAGCCCTCTTCTTTTGATCAAAACCAGTCCAAGAACTCAAGAAACAACCCTCCAAGTCCCTCAATCTCGGAATAAGGTGTAATAGTGTGTGTAATGGTGCAAAAGTAAGGTAAAAACCACCTTTAGGCCAAGAAACACACACAAAGGAGGGGAGAGAGGGAGATATAGAGATAGAGTGTATCTATACCTCAAAACTCTGGTTTTTGGTTCCAAATTTCTAACCTAGATCCAAGAGGAAAGCCCTCCTCTTATAAGACTCCCTCTTGCAAAGCTTATTCAACAAGCTTGCTTAGAGGGAGATCTCTCCATACACGTGTATGGAGGGGGGAAGAGTTGGTGCCAGCTATCACAGCTGGCACAAAATATCTCCATAAAGTGGATGAACAGTGGTCGGCTGCCCAAAAATGTCACTTCGACAAAAAACAGTGCCGACCGGCAACAAACTATGCCGACCGGCAATAAAATGTGCCGACCGGCAAACAAAAGTGCCGATGGCAGCAAAAACCAGCCGGTGGCCTCTAGCCACTGCTGGTGGTGTGTGGGGATGTCTCACAAGGCATTCCCTGCCCCTCCAAGGCAAAACACGAGTGTTCGGTGCAAAACTAGACACTAAACGGTCAAGTTCGGAGATCCTGAGGCAGGGCGCGCGAGCCGAGACCCCCGGGAACTCCAAACGAACATGAACATGGATAATCACCGAGTGTTCAGGCGATGACGTCCAAGTCTTGAGGACGGTCAAAAATGGGGTGTCTACAACCTCTGTTTCGGATGCATTCCGTCACTTTGTTTATCGAGTTGTTGCTCATTTTCTTTATCGAGTTGTTGCTCATTTTTTTATTGAGTTGTTGCTCATTTGTTTATCAAGTTGTTGCTTATTTGTTTATCGAGTTGTTAATTCGTTTAACGAATTGTTTTTGAGTTAAGTTATTTAGTTTGTTGCGTCGGTTCACTACCTGACTTGGCAATATACGTTGTTCTATTTTCATTCAAATTTCATTTCTGTGCAAAATGGTGCGATGCGATGCTCAGAATACAAATACAACACTTTTTGAACGAAAAGTCGCTTTCATTCCATCATAGCTTCTTTTTACAATATTTTACAAAAGGGTACAAGTTTTGGAAGAAAAATAAAACTGCCTAAGCTGTACAATGTGCTACAACTACATGTAAAAAGAAAAATAAAGCAGGAACATCTGCATTAGTGCCATCAAGCTCAAGACTGAGAAGCCCTCTTCACCCTCTTCGGCTGAGCAGCCTTCGTGCCACCAGCACCGGCACCATCATCTGAATCGGAATCACCATCCTCGGAATCCTCCTCGGCGTCACCTCCGCCCTCAACACTAGAACCAGAGTCGTCATCCCTTCCTGCAGATGTCTCTGACTGTAGATGTGCCAACTCCTCCTCCTCGTTAGACTGGTCATCCTGTCTGACAGGTGCCCTGCTCCCCCCTCGGCCGCATGTTGTGACTCCTCTCCTAGCTGCTCGAGAAGGCCTGGATGGCCCAGTCCGCAGAGGCGGGACTTGAAAAGGACAGTTTGAATGCGTTAGCTAGTATGTATATCAGATGCAGATGCGAGAATTACATAGAGTGGGTGCATGTAGATATAGTGTGTGAATGCGATGTGTTGGATGTGCTCTACACATGTAATGAATCAATACAATGAAATGTTCAGTTTCCATATGTCATCAGAAGCATGATAAATGCGAGGAAATTAAAAAGTACTTGAACGCCAGAGGCGCAAAGCATCGTCTCCCACCTCAGAACCATGCCCTCGAGTGAAGCCACCACTCCGAGTAACCCCTCAGTATATTCTCTGGGAGGCTGCACACGTAAGTTCAAGTCATCAGTGAATGAATGAATGTCTAAATATCTGAGTGATAAACGAAAACTGTAAAACATACCGGTGGTGAGTCAGGGTCACTGACGTATCGATGGTTGGGCATCGGAGGCTCCAGTGGAATCGGGTAAGCAGTCCCATACTGCCAGCCCGTCAGCTTGGTCGGAAGATCTGGCCATCCAACATACTGGCAAGTCAAGGGTATCCATCCAGTCCCGTCCCTCGATGAGCCTGCCCCATTGGTCGAAGGAATGCCTCCAGCTCGGGCGCGACTCGAGGAAGCCATGTCAGCAGCTCTCCTCCTAGGGATACGGACACCTGACAGTGGAGGCATCAGGTACGTATGGCGATACGTCGCATAATCCCCCTCCTCCAGAAAAAGGACTGCATCAATACCAAGCATGAGGTCCTCCGTCTTTCGGGGCGTAAGATCCCCTGCGGACCACATCTTTGGTGGAGGCAATGAAGGCATGTCCTGATCGGAGTTTCCCATCATCTGGCGCATGAAGCGCTCTCCAAGGAACCAAGCTCTACCAACCAGTCCCTCAAGCAGAACCCTATATCGCGAAGTGCCCCATGCCCTAGCGAATAGAAATCTAGGATTCCCCAGCATGGCTATCCAAGGCTACTAGGTCACCTGCAGGTAGCAAGTGCATAAATTGATTAGATGTCATAAATATTCAGGATAAATCAAAGTGGAAAGCATGAAGAACTGAGAGTTCTGGATTACCTCCGTCGCCCGTACAATATCGAAGAACTGCCGGAGAAGGGGCAAAGTCTCCCGGGACCTAGGCCGACACCGACCCTCAAATCCGCGTGAGTAAGGGATCTCAAAGAGTGCCTCGACCTCTAGCTCGGGGCCAGCGTCGGGAAGTACGCATAAACCCACAACTGTGAAAGGCAAGACAACGGCTGTCAGAGTGCAGAATACAGTGTGCCATACAATATACAGAATGTATAGAAAATACAAAATGTTGAGTTCAGAATGCTGAGTGCAAAATGCAGTGTGCAGTGTACAGTATACAGAATGCTGAGTGCAGAATGCAGTGTGCAATATACAGAAAATACAGAATGTTGAGTGTAGAATGCTATGTGTAGTGTACAGTATACAGAATTTATAGCAAATACAGAATACTGAGTGTAGAATGCTGAGTGCAGAATGCAGTGTGCAGTGTACAGTATACAGAAAATACAAGAAATACAGAATACTGAGTGCAGAATGTAGAATGCAGAATGTAATGTGTGCAGTGTGCAGTGTACAGATAATGAAAAGCAGAACTGTAAATCAAGAGGGTAGAATGTACCTCCCAGGCTCGCCAGTAGCCTCCAACATGGGCCCCCGCTCACGGGAGGGTGCGCTCATGTAGCAATAAAGGGTAGCGAGGGCGGTGCCACCCCAATCAAAGAGCCGGACCCGTGATAGGTCCACCAGAGCACTGAGCAGATAAAGCCCAACTGTGTTCCCCCTGTCGGAGAACAATGTGGTCCCGAGGAGGAACATCAAAAATCCCCGGGCGTACTGCTGTACGGTCTCAATGGTCTGGGGCGAAGTCCCCCTGTACTGCTCGGCAAACCAGGTGTACCTGACCCTACCCGATGATCTGTCGATCGGCGGACGAGCTCCGAGCAGATAAATCCAAGCGGCCTCCCACTCGCCCATATCTGCATCATAAGGGATCAGCCGACCTCCCACGTCAAGGCTTGTCAGCATGGAGAAGTCAAATGGGGTCATCGTCATATCCCCGATGGCCGAGAAATGGAAAGAGTTGGTGGTGTCCCACCATCTCTCCACAAGTGCGCACAAGAGGGTCCTGCTCGCTGGATGACGTGATAATCCCACGCAGTATAGGCCAAACCCTGCCTCGTCCACAATGTGTTGGACAGCATCTGGGAGCTCCATGTACCACTCCCTCGCGAGGATAGATCCATAACCCCGTGTGAAACGGGAGGATACCTACATTCAGAATGAACAGATGTATTAAGTTTCAAATTCAAATGTGTGAGCTGCGTGTTCAAATTTAAATGTATGAGCTGCGTGTTCAAATTCAAATGTGTAAGCTGCATGTTCAAATTCAAATATGTGAGTTGTGTGTTCAGAATGAAAAGTATGAGCTACGTGTCCAAATTGAAATGTAAGAGCTACGTGCAAACTAAAAGCGTACTGCGTTACGGACAAATGGGTTCAGATTGAGCAGTGTGCTATAAACCTACCGTGTTATGGACAAATGGGTCCAGATTGAGCGATGTGTTATATTTAATTAAAAGTGTACTGCGTTATGGACAAATGGGTTCAGATTGAGCAGTGTGCTATAAACCTACCGTGTTATGGACAAATGGGTCTAGATTGAGCGGTGTGTGATATTTAATTAAAAGTGTACTGCGTTATGGACAAATGGGTTTAGATTGAGCATTAAGCTATAAACCTACCGTGTTATGGACAAATGGGTCCAGATTGAGCGGTGTGTGATATTTAATTAAAAGTGTACTGCGTTATGGACAAATGGGTTCAGATTGAGCATTAAGCTATAAACCTACCGTGTTATGGACAAATGGGTCCAGATTGAGCGGTGTGTTATATTAATTAAAAGTGTACTGCGTTATGGACAAATGGGTTCAGATTGAGTAATGTGCTATAAACCTACCGTGTTATGGACAAATGGGTCCAGATTGAGCGGTGTGTTATATTAATAAAAAGTGTACTGCGTTATGGACAAATGGGTTCAGATTGAGCAGTGTGCTATAAACCTACCGTGTTATGGAAAAATGGGTCTAGATTGAGCGGTGTGTTATATTAATTAAAAGTGTACTGCGTTATGGACAAATGGGTTCAAATTGAGCAGTGTGCTATAAACCTACCGTGTTATGGACAAATGGGTCCAGATTGAGCGGTGTGTTATATTAACTAAAAGTGTATTGCGTTATGGACTATGTGTTCAGATTGAGCAGTGTGCTATTAAAAATCGAATACTGTGTTATGGACTGCGTGTTCAGATTGAGCGGTGTGCTATGTTATAAAAAAAGTGTACTGTGTTACGGACTGTGTGTTCAGATTCAGCAGTGTGCTATTAAAAATCGAATACAGTGTTATGGACTGCGTGTTTAGAATGAACAGTGTTATGAGCTATGTGCCAACTAATCGAATACTGCGTTATGGACTGCGTGTTCAGATTGAGCAGTGTACTATTAAAAATCGAATACTGTGTCATGGACTGCGTGTTCAGATTGAGCAGTGTTATGAGCTGTGTGCCAACTAATCGAATACTGTGTTATGGGCTGCGTGTTCAGATTGAGCAGTGTTTTGAGCCGTGTGCCAACTAAACAAAATGTTGTGTTATGAACTGCGAGTTCAGATTAAGCAGTATTATGAGCTGTGTGCCCAAGGTGTGCGGTGTGCCCAAAATGAGCCGCGTGCCAAGTTAGCAGAGTGCTGTGTATGAACTGTATGTTCAGAACGAGTGAACTGTTGTGTATATAAATGTGCAAAGAGTGCAAAGTACATCGCAAGAGATGCAAAAGTGAAGTACGTACCTCATGCGCGTGATGAGATAGATGGGACTCCGGCTCCCGAAGCAGCAGGTCTGCAGGTGCCCGTCGCGCGAAGTCCGTGAAGTGGTAGAAGGGTCTAGGGAGCAAGGAGAATGTATTTCGGCCTTGGAGGTATGATACAAACTGATTTGAAGTTATGTACTTAAAGAGCCGAAGCTAAAAGACCAAATTGCCCCGAATTTCTGTAAACTGGTCGGCCAGCCAATTTTTTTGGTCGGCCGACCACTTTGGTGGTCAACAACTGGTTGGCCAACTTCCTAGGTGGTCGGCCATCCCTCCTGGCTGATTTCCAAGGTCCCTTTGTTCTCCCTATGTGTTTTGATAATGATTGGAGTCCTTGGCTCTCGAGAAACTACAAGAGAAGTACACTTTTCGGCTAAAAAATGTCCCTACGGGAACTTCAATTCAAGTCTTCGATGCGTAGCTCATCATTTACTCGTCAAGAGCAAGGTGTATCCTTTTTGAGTACGTTGTGACCCCATCGAGAGGTAAATCTGAGGTTGTGTTTGAATTACGCTTCTTTATTCAGCATTTCCTTTCAAACACACATTTGAAGTTGCGCATTTCTTTCGCATTACCTTGCACTTTCCATACGCGATGTCGCGCACGTTTCACCTACATTGTTATGTACACCACTTGTTGCATTGTTATGCACTCACTACTTTTGTTGTCACGCTCATTTTACTTACATCACGCTCATTAACATGCACCCCTTTTTCGCATTGTTATGTGTCACACTTAGGTTGTATTGTTATGCATCCCTTCCGCATTGTTATGCGTCACACTTAGGTTGTATTGTTTTGCATCCCTTCTGCATTGTTATGCGTCACACATAGGTTGCATTGTTTTGCATCCCTTATGCATTATTATGCGTCACACTTTGGTTGCATTGTCATGCACCCCTTCACTTGCGTTGTTGCGCACTTTTCACTTGCATTGCTATGCATGTTTCTAACAATATTGTACCTGTTGAGTTTCTTTCTTTTGTAGGCACGATATTGTATGTACGGTTCATTTGAAGTTGGCACGACCAGACGAACCAGACGGTATTGTATCTTCTCCGCATGAGACGTAGTGAGAATTGTATAATTCTCTTACATCCTTTCTGCATGTAATGTAGTTTGGTTCATTTTCGCTCGCTTAAACTGTTGCATTTATTGTGCATATCTGCTTCGTTACAGCTTTCTTTGCATGATCATAAGTTATGTTCGGCTTTGTGCATGTCATTTGCATCTTGCCCAGCCTGCGAGCACATCTCTTTATTATCTTGCCTGCTTGTCTAAGTCTTCGGCCTTGTCAAAAATGGGTCATCCCTGGGCTTTGACATTCACTCTCGTCACTTATGACTTTCGAATTCTGTCAAAAAGGGGCAACTGTAGACACCTCATTTTTTACCGACCTTAAGACCTAGACGTCATTGATTGAGCACTCGGTGATGGTGCATGTTGTGCTCGTTTCGAGTCTCCGGAGTTTTGGCTGAGAGCCTTGCCTCCGGGCCTCTGAACTCTTTTGTGTTTCGGCTCGGTTTGTGAACCAAATCTTGTTTTCTCTTCCCGGAGGGAGGGAGAAGCCTCGTAGACCATCTCTTTGTGGTCGTAGGCCACTTTTTGTGGTCGTAGGCCACTTTTCCCGTTTGGAGACTAGTTTCCGGTTTTTTGACCCTTTAGCTGCGCACCTTGTCTCGGGACCGCTTAACATTCTCCGTTTGGTGTGGTTTTTGAACCACACCTTGTTGCCTCTGCCTAGAGGAACACTGTGGTCCGGGAGACCACTTTTGTGATCACATACCACTTTTGGTGCTCGTCAGCTAGTTTTCGGGGTTTTCGACCGCGTGCTTTGCCTCTCGATCTCTCGTCTTGCATCCGTTTTGGTTTATTTTGTGTACAAACCTTGTTTTCCTTGTTTGGAAGGTGGTACAAGGGTGGGAGACCAGTATTTCTCCTGGCCGACCACTTCTTCCTCTGTCAGCTAGTTTTCTGGTCGGACAACTGGCTTTCTCGGTCTTTGAGGCATCTTTTCTGGTCGGCCACCACGCCACTGCATTGTTTTCATACCCTGGACTCTCTC